TGTTTTTTTTAGAGAGAAGACACTTTCCTAGCGTGCTATGGTGTTCAGTTCAGTTCTAATTGTACTGTCATGAGCTTTAACATTTAAAATGACACCTTTAGAGTCTCATGTAAAATGCCTGCAGATCAGTCAGTAACAGTTATTAGTTAAAGTACCAACGTGCTGCTCTGTGAGATGTCAGCAATCTAAGACGTAGTATGTTCTTTAAAATTACAAGGAATAAACTTGGAATGCTGTAAAATCGCAAGTTTGAGTGCAGTTGGGGATGTTTACTGCACGCCATAGCTGTCTCATCTCTCATTTCCTGTCATTTCCCTGCATTTGCTTATCTAACAAAGAAACCCAGCGCAAACAGCGCATGTAATTTTCTGTCCCGCTAAACACAAACTGCCTCTATTTGTAAGTTACACAAACTCACGGAGCCTTCCAGTTAAAAACTCACGCTGTCACGATAATAAACAAAGAATGACAGAGTTTACAGCCCTGCAAATGTCTGCTGTCATTTACTCGCAGCAGAAAAAAATCTTCGTTTTCTCAGCAGACCTTGTAGAGCCGAGGTCAGCGTTAACCGCTTCATACCTCCCTGGTGTTTCCGGGGCTGATTTTAGAAAGAGGAGGCACCCCGTCTAAAAAAAGAACAGGGAAGAAAAGGGGCTAGAGGTGCACTGGAGTTCAATGTGGTGAAAATATGAGTGAACAAATGTATTTGTGCCAAAAAACTGAGCGCTAAGAGAATGGCACCCAGTAAAGGCAACAAATCAAAGTGATTATATTCTTTAGAAATTGTTGCTCTTATAGGATTTTTAAATCTCATAAGGTTGGAGAACACTTGTTATAGAAAAGACTGCTGAGGTTGGTGCTGGCTGATCGCATGTGAATGTCTCGCTGTTTCAGAGCTCATCAGGTTGTTGACCCACTTTCAAACTCAAGGTAGTTTGGATGGGCACGTGTGCAGGCAATTGAGGTGAATGGCTTTAAAAGGCAATTATTTGTGCCACGTTACATCTTTCCGCTTGAAATATTCCCCTACGGCACAAAGCATGTGTCGCAGAGTGCAATTGTACACATTCATCACTTATGTCTCACAGAGCAACACAGACACACACTGATCGCATCTCTCTCAGTGTAACAAGTTCACACATAACGTGTGTGCCACTCCCCAACAAAGAAACAAACACACTCATGTTCATGGGAAACATCACACATCCAGAAGAAACGCCTGGGTGTGGCTCTGAGTCTAAGTGGCATTATAAATCAGCTGGGAGCCCCCCACCCCCCAGCAGCTGCTCCCCAGGGAACCTGAGGTCACATCTATTCAGCTGGTGGCTACTGGCTACAACTCCCCTCATTGTCCTACATTTACCCTCCTCCTCAGTTAGCATTCCTCCCCCATGTCCTTACTGTCCTTCCTCCAGCCCCATCACCCTCCTTCATATCTCCTTCTACCCCCTCCCCCCTCCAAACTCCCTCCATCCTTGTCTCTCTTCCTGCCTCCATTTTCCTGATTAAACTTCTAGGATCTTTATCTAGTGGTGGTTTCAGTGCGGTGGGCTATATTTACAAGGCCTTCACTCTCCAGCTCTCCTCTAAATGACTTGGGGGGGGGGTGTTTACTCAATAAATGGAAGTTGTTCAGCCTATCAATCACGCACTGCATGGGCAACAACAAGCAGCAGACAGTAACAGCTCTGTTTTTAGGCCGTTTAGCAGTTTGTTTGTTTGTTTGTTTTTTGCATATATTGGTAAATAGACTGAGGTCAACAGTATTTACAAAGTGGTTCTATATAAAATAAATAAATTAATGTTTTGGAAGTTATGACTTTATGTGACATTGTACCTACATTATAACTAATTCAGACCTTTGTGGCCACTTAAAATATCTTTGTAGAACTATTATGTTTTATTTGTTGCAAATTATCTTTAAAAAGCCATTTTTAATGCCAACGATACTTTTTAACTAGATAAATATAGAATACATTTTAGTCACTTTGCCAAAAACTGATTGCATGTTCCACCTTGTGACAGGAATGTTGTTTGTGTCTGAAGATGAATTCATATCATTTATTATGATATCATCTATTATTATATATTTGGCACATGTTTTGCATATTATAGGACAACAACTCATTTATCTCATTTTAATCTTATTTAATCACTTTTTTGCAAATACCGGAAATCGCTTTTTGGAAGACGATCATATTTACGATCATAACACCGGCACACCGAACACATTAGTACACTTCAGTTTGACTATTAATGACAATGTAACACACTGACACATGGCCAGTAACCACAACTATGCCCCATCGTTTGAAAATTGCATAAAATAAACAGCCAGAATCTTTACATTTTAAATCTGCATGTCTGTCATGTCAAATTAAACCACAGCACAATGCCTGTCATTAGATTATTGCAAACGGGTTCAAGTATCAGTGAAAAAAAACGTGAGCGATGAGAAAAATAATAAAATGTTACAAACTTTATAAACCTGCCATTAAAATGTAACAGTGACAGTATAAACTTATCCGGGCTGGTTACGTTTATTGAAAAAAAGGGGGGGAAAGAAGAAAAAAGAGGAAATAAATGAACGAATGAAGTTTACCTTGGCGCTGTTATTTCATACAGGAGACATAAGCAGAAGTAAGCTAGCGTTTGTAGTCCTCTGCCCGCAGCAGCGGCACAGGCAGACAACAACTATCTGCCCTGCTGGCACCGGGGGCCACTCTCTCCTCCGAAAAGTCACTGGAGATTTATCCTGCTGCTCATTCCTCTCTGCAGAGAAATATGTCGGCAGTATATATGTTTAAAACCAAATATTCGGTAGTTGGAGAGGGAGACAGTATCCGCACACTGCCTGGGCGGACCTCTTTACCGCGGACTAAATGAAGGGGACGAGCGAAGAGTGAAATCCTCAGTCCTCCGCCGCTGCTCCTAAAAAAAATAAATAAAAAATGCAGCAGCATCGCGGACAATGGCACACCGAGCGTTTCCGGTTACAGCTCCTTCAACATAAAATCAAATTCAAATCTTTTTATTTTTTTGTTTATTATCTTTATATTTTATAATTGTATATATAACAAAAATAGGAAAAATAACTTTTAAGTTAAAGATTTGCATAGCCACTTTCAAGAATTAGAAGAAAGCTTTACAGAAGAGTAAGAATTCTCTGGTAAATGGAGATTAATGGGGAATTCCAAAAAACAAAGACAGTGGTAGAAGTCTTTCATTTCTTTTCTTTCTTTTTTTTGTTTATTTGGGGTTAAAATTATTGTAATATCTGGGGTAAAATCTAGACCTTCTTAGTACTGTATCTTAGTACTTTCTAAGATACAGATGTCCTGTTAACCATTCCAATTGAAGTTTCACTTCCTCTAATTAAAAAGCTTTCCCAATGCGTCATCAACGTCTTTTTACGTATTTAAAGAACAAACAAACAAACTTGAGCTTTGATATCTTTTGTTTTGAAGGCGTGCGTATTCGTTTAACCGTCTTAATTTTGCTCACTTGACCCTTATGTTGCCTACGTCAACGCTATAGGACAGCCCCACTCACGCTCACACATACACAGTGTGTCGGTGTAATACTCAGTCCGTAACTCCAATTAAGTCCACATCTTTAATCACCATCAGCATCATCCTCATCACTATAAGGACAGTTTGCTCTGTACTTGTACCTCACTGAAGCTAAAAAAAAAAAAGAGTAGGCTATAAAGTTTAAATACATCTGATTAATTATCTTTTACAGTGTGATTTACTACAAAACATTTTTTAAAAATCCAGTTGTAATTTCTTCTACTCATATTTTAAATATGATAATTTATTTCAAATGTTTTGTTGTTAATCCAATTTAGTTATATAATACAAAGTGATATAAAACCAATAGAAAACAAAAAAATGAAAAAGAATAAAATACTCAGTAAAATATAGTAAACTCAGTCAGCTATTTATTTACTTTAAACTTTCTGATTTGTTATTTTGTGCCTGAGCACTAGTGGACACAGTGGAGGAAAGAAAGTGAGAAAAAATAAACAGTGGGCCGGAAGACCCTCAAATCCTATTTAGCCTCCTGGGAGTGTTTACATGAGAATGCAGCTCTCTATCTCTCACAGAAAGATCTGTTTTAGAAACTACAGCTATTTCTTTCTACTTTTTTCAGGTATTCAGCAGTAGTTTTAAAACTCAAAGTATGTTTTTTTGTATTATTACAAGGATAAACGTTGATAT